TAAATTACACAGGGACAACACAGCCATCAAACTGCTCAGGAAGGAGATGTATTATCCGAACAATATAAATCAGTGCCAGAACAACAGGAAAAAGGGGGAGGCTTGCAAGCTGAAGAACACCATCCCAACCGTGAAGCACAAGGGTGGCAACATCATGCTGTGGTGGGGGGCTTTGCTGCAGGAAGGACTGGGGCATTTCACAAAATAGATGGCATCATGAGGAAAGAAGATTATGTGGATATATTGAAGCAGCATCTCAAGACATCAGCCAGGAAGTTAAAGCTCGGTCACAAATGGGTCTTGTCCAAGCGGACAATGACCCCAAGCAGACTTCCAAAGTTGTGGCAACATGGCTTAAGGACAACAAAGTCAAGGTAGTGGAGCAGCTATCACAAAGCGCTGACCTCAATCCAATAGAAAATGTAAGGGCCAAAATGAAAAAGCATGTGTGAGCAAGGAGGCCTGCAAACCTGACTCAGTTCCACCAGTTCTGTCAGGAGGAATGGGCTAAAATTCTAGCAAATGATTGTAAGAAGCTTGTGAAAGGCATCCTATAACATTTGATCCAATTTAAATGGAATGCTACCAAATAATAACCGAGTGTATGTAAACTTCTGGCCTACTGGGAATGTGATGAAAGAAATAAAAGCTGAAATACATTTTTCACTGCACTATTATTCTGACATTTGACATTCTTAAAATAGTGATCTGACCCAAGACAGGGAATGTTTATAGGATTATATGCCAGGAGTTATGACAAACTGAGTTTAAATGTATTTGGCTAGGGTGGATGTAAACTTCTGACTTCAACTGCATCTTCTTATAGCCAGAAGAGTTTTGACTGATACCTTTCCACAATGTTGAGACAGGAAACCCCATCCTGTCCTCCTACAGCATACAAATAACCACCAAGGACAGCTACACCTACACTGGTACGACAAGTGCTTGTAGGGGCAACATCACTGCTCCACTGGTTGGTCTTCATCATATCTAGACAAGAAAAAAAAAAAAACAAAAAAAAAAAAAACAAAGAGAAAAACTCAAATAACTGTACTTTTCTAATTGTGAGTAATAAAGAATGCAGAGACGTGGAGAGAATGAACATGGAACAGCAGAGAAGGAAAAATTTATATTTCCAGTAAAAAGCCTGAATGATCATGCCACACCTCTCCACAGAGTTGAGATACGACGAGCCATCATGACCACCCACTGCATACAGCAAGTCATCCAGAACACTCACACCGACTCCACAGCGCCGTTTGCTCATTGACGCTACCATCCGCCACTCATTGGTCTGAGGATCATAACGCTCAACACTGGAAATGGCATCTCCACTGCACCAGCCACCAACTATAGGACAAGGAAATTTGGCAGAAGCAACACACAGAGGGTGTATACAATACAAAAGTTGCACAAAAATGATAGAGGTGGATCAGTTCCTTCAGTATGATGTACTATGAGCTGACTGATAAAGATACAAAACATTTTTGGTTTTAATTTTTAGAGCTTGAAGGTACTGACCTGCAAAAAGTACCTCTCCACAGCGGATGGGTTTCCTCGGCCGTGTTCTGGGGCCCTGCATGAGTGGTCTTTCCTGCGGCAGCAGCAGGTAATTCTTAGCCTCATCAACCAGGTCTCTGAAACAACAGAAAAAAGCAAGAACATGAGGTAAATGATGTCAGTCATAAGCCCCTATCAGGCATGCACCTCTACCCAGAAATTTGCCTGCTATTTCACATCTAGGTGTCACGTCTGAACAAAGCCCTGTGTTGCATAGCCAGCAAAGTGTTACTGGAAATTTGACCAGGTCGGCCCAGTTCAAATTGCTGGCTACGTTCTAACCGGCTACATATCTGAATTGAAGTGGTCAAACTGCTGGCAGGAGCATGGTCACGATGACAACAGTGCTACAGCACGATGCCAACTATTTTCTCTATTTCACTGTTTTGTTCTTCACTCTCTAGCTCGCTTCACCACTGCTGCTCTCACCCTCTTTTTCCTCTTAGTATATATTTCAGACAGGCAGTGAAATTTAGACAAAGATAAAAGGAATGTAACACCACTAGCTAGTACGAAGTTTATTTTGAACAGGTACAGAGAGGAGGTGTGAGCTAACACAGAATGGCTGGAAATTAGGCTGAATCACGGCTCAAACCACGGCTGCCATGTCTGAAAGGGACTGCAAATCAGGGTTATACATCGTCTGCGTATCAGCATGTAAACCGTATGCAAAAATGGAGGCTGATATCTTCCTCCTTCCTCTCCTGCTCTCCTCTCCTTTTGCAACCTTTGCCATTCCTATAAACTAAAACTTTAGAGGAAAATAGTAGAAATTTCTCATTTGAATTCAAGAAAACAGAAAATTCTTGGATCCAGTGCACCAGAAGCAGTTTTCTACCAAAAATAATTGAAGGGGTGACAACTCTTATGTAAAATAACAAAACCCACCTGCACTCCTCATCACTCTTAATGAGAGGATCTGAACCTACGGTGCCCACCAGAAACTTGGGGCTGAGTAGTGGCAGACGGACATGCTGCAAGACCTACAGAAAACATGAAGTCCTCTATTTTACTACTAGTCATGTTGAGAATCAATACCAGGCTTGTACACTGCAGTGGTGATGTTATAATATTTTTAACAGAAACAAACCTGGGGTAGCTGTGGTCTGCGTTCCTGGATGCTGTATTTCACCCAGGCGATCACAGCATTGAAAACCTGCTCCTCGCTGCGCACGTTGAGCTCATCGCTTGAAATGATGTCAATCAACTGGTTGGCAGGCAGCAGCATGAACTCTTCACTTTCCATTACCTGCCACAGAACAGTGTTCAACAGTCAGTCTGCAGCTCTGCCACAAACAGAGCAACAGCTTCAGATTCTCAACAGATCAATCACTGAATCATCATAAGCAAGGCAAGTTTATTCATATAGCACAGTGTAATTGCTGCCAAAGTACTGAATTACCGGTCTGAATACTTTTGCAAAAGCGAGATTTCTGTTTTAGAGTTAAAACAGATTTCTAAAAACTTTTCTCTTTGCAATATGGGTTACTGAGTGGGGGTAACTGTGCTGCAATTAAAAGGTACCTCTTTGCCTCTCATGTTTATTTCTTTTGTTTGCATTTAAATGACACAAAAAGCAGAGGAAAAAGCCAAATCTGACACATTCCACACAGAACTCCAATAATGGAATGAACCGAATCATTGAGGCCTTTTCAAAATCATCAGAAATAGTTGCATTTCAAGCCTGTGATGCTCCTTTAATTTGTAATGAAACTCACTTGTAGCAACCAACAGGTGCTGGCAACATAGAAATCACACTCGCAACCAGTTAAAATGAAGAAAAGCTGACTCAACCTTTGTGTTGTGTGGACTGAGCATGGAGAAAAGAAAGATGAGCAAAGAAGTGTGAGGATTTAAGAACCACAATAGTGGAAAAGTCTAGACAATCTCAAGGCTACAAGTCCATATCCAGAGATCTGGTTGTTCCTGTGTCCAGCCCACTGTAGATAACAAATGAGAAGAGAAAAATAGATGACAAACTGCAACGAAGGATTGTTCCAATGGTGGATAAAGAAACTCAATAAGCATCCAAACACATTCAAGCTGACCTGCAGGCACAGGGTGCAACAGTGTCAGCTCACACTATCCCTCGCCATCTGAATGACAAGGGACACTGGTACGAGTTTGCTAAAACTTAGCTGATGCAGCCACGGCCCTTCTGGGAGAATGTCCAGTGGACAGATGGGACTAAAATAGAGCTTTTGGTCGAGCACATCATTCTGCTGTTTTCAGAAAATGAAATGAGGCCTTCAAAGAAAAGAACAGAGTCCCTACAGTCAAAAACGGTGGAGGTTCACTGTTGTTTTGGGGCTGCTTTGCTGCTTCAGGCTCTGGATTTCTTGACTTTGGCATTATGGCATTATGAAATCTGAAGACTACTAATGAATTCTGGGGCACAATGTAGGGCCCAGTGTCAGAAGGTTTGGTCTTTGTCAGAGGTCATAGGTCTTACAGTAGGACAACGACCCAAAGCAGACTTCAAAAAGCACCAGAAATGGTTTCAGACAATGAGCTGGAGAGTTCTGAAGTGGCCAGCAATGACTCCAGGTCTAAATCCCATAGAGAGCCTGTGGGGAGATCTCAGAACAGCAGCTGGGAGAATGAGGCCTTCATATCTGAGAGACCTGGAGCAGTTGGCAAAAGAAGAGTGGTCCAAAATTCCAGTAGACATGTAAGAAACTCACTGATGGTTAGAGGAAGCGACTGATACCAGTTATTTTGTCCAAAGTGTGTGCTACCAAATATTATGTTGAGGGTGTCAAGAATTGTGCCCAGTCCATTTTTAGAGCTCTGTGTGGAATGTTATTAGATTTGGCTTTTTTTCTGTTGTTCCAATGCAAACAAAAGAAATAAACATGAGAATACCAAAAACTTTGTGACTGCAACAGTTTTATGGGAGAAGTGGTGAGTAATCTGACAGAAATGCAGGGGTGCTAATATTTTTGGCTATGATTCTGTACTGTAGTGCTACTCCCTAGACTGAGAACCACTGCTGAATGGTTTCGGTGGCACACCATGTGTATTTCACATCTCTCCCCTCTCTGTCTCTGCCTCCTGTTTCCTGTCCACCTCTATGTGACCCACTGATACAAAAATGCTATGGACATTTGTTGTTTTTTTTTTTTGTACATCTACATCTTACCTCTTGAAAATTGTGCTGGGTGAACTTGTCTGCAATGCGGAGCAGCTCACGGCAGGAGTGTGTGTCAGCGAAGGCCCTGATGCCCAGACAATTGGAGGGATCCAGCTGCCTCTTGAGGAACTCACAGCAGGCCTCCTGGATCTCAGCCAGCTGGAGAAGGCAGGCTGCAGGAAGCAATGTCTGGACATTACCCTCCTCTACAGTCACCTAGGAGCAGGGAAGGCAGGACCATCATCAGTGGGTTTACAGCTGCGGGGATATGTACGCATTGTATTGGAAATGTCGACTCCTTCTTCTGACTGGAACTTTTCAATCAACTGGCAGTGAATTTGTACATAATGTTCTTCAAGATCTAGTTTCTGCCAGCTAGATAGACTGTTCTGTTCATAATATACGGAATCTAAAAATCACCTGTCAATCCTACACTGATAACAAACAAATGATCTCAATTCAACTTAAACAACAAGCTGTACCAGTGATGATTTAGGTGCCAGTGCCAGGGTGTTATTACTGGGGTATTATTTACTGTTTATTTAACAGCAACTATGCAGAATACACTTGTTGTACCAGATATAGCTAATAGCAAATATTGATCAGTAGTCTCTGGACAGAGGTCACCAGTGATACACAGTTTGCAAAAGTTAAAGTCAGAGAACTTTGAAAAAGAGAAACAATAACACATTAATACAAAATATGAACACACACACACACACATACAAATAAACAATGGAAGAAATCAATACAAGTTCCCAACTAGCAAGCATATCACTGGTAATCTCAGCATCACAAAAACCAAACATTTTATCAGCACAAGAAATTTCCAACCTCCACCTGCAGTATTAACAGTGGCCACTTAATACTGTACATGTAGCTAGAAGATGTCTGAAAGGACTGCACACTCTGATAGTCAAAGGTAAAGAATTCCACATACCAACTACCTTAACTGGAAGTATACAAGTATAACCCAACTATGTAAACCGAAATTTACAATAGCAGCCCACTCTGGTAGGTTAATTCTTTTTAACCTTGAGCACTAGGGGGTGTTGCACATTATTAAAGCTTTGATATATACTGAATTTAAATCATTTTGTAACTGTTTTCACTTTGACATTCTCCTTTTTTTGACCATTGCCAAGAAATTCATACCAGACCTACTAGACCAGTTGTTATTGTTTTAAAACAAATTTTGTGTAAATGTAAATTTAACTGTTAAACCCGAGTCATAAATGCAGATATGATTAAATTAATTTAAACTTTTGCACTTTCACCAGTCTAGCAAATTTGAAAAACCACCTTTTGTTTATATTTGCTGATGTGCAAACACACTGATTTAGGAAAAAAAAACTCATGTTCTCTTGTTTAAAGAGCCCATGTTATGTTTATCTACAATGTTACAATGGCAAATTATCATCTTAGACATGACCTAAAGCTCAAAAAATGAGGTGAACGTATGTTTTAGTATTTCTATGCAGAAGTAACTCTGTTTCTACATGTCTCGCAAACTCTCGCTAAGGATTTCCTTGAATGTGCATTAAATCCAGGCTGCTGCGTGTTCATGTGAGCTTGCCTGCCATCCACCGGTGCCGCCACCATATTGGCAAAATGTTATACTGCCTTATTTGCTATGTATGTTTTCAGTAAAGCTTATTTAAAAAAAACAACAAACAAAAAAAAACGTCCACAGTGCCATTGTAAAAGTGGAATTTTTCAACTGCGCCTGGGTTTAAGGATGTATTTTCGCTCCTGCTGCTGCTGCACTGTAACCAGAGGATGTGGAGAAATATACAGGGTTACTGCATGTCCAGGAATGCTCCTGTCCAGGGACTCACAGTTTTACTTGACGGGGTCTAACCTACAGTGATCAGTGATCAGCTCATCAACACTGGATTCCCCCAGAGCACAGTACCTGTTTGTTTTGACTGCTTGAGGCCAGCATGTCTGCTGCATGTGATATGTTGCTGGTTAACGAATGAATTAATGACCCATGATGTTATTGTCGGTGCTACACTACTTGTTGGAATAAATTTCACTACTTTGGGTGGTCATGTGGGGGAAGACGCTGTGATTACCAGTTGGATTTACGGAACTTGGAGCTACTTGAAAGCAAGTGATGTTTCCATTACTTGGTGGAAAAAAAAGTAAAAAAAAAAAAAAAAAAAAAAGAAAAAACCCACACATGTTGCATGTCTGTTAATGTCTTGTTTCTGTAAGGTTAGAAAGAATTGTAAGGCTGGAGAAGTTACTATGTCTGCATGATGCCAATTAAAATATGGGTTTCTCAATTACCTACTTTGTTTAGACTGCAGGGGTGCCAAACTCCAGTCCTCTAGGGCCGCTGTCCTGCTTGTTTTCCAACTATCCCTGCCTGACCTGCTGCTGATTACCTGGCTCAGGTGTGTACAGCCAGTCAGAAGCTGGAAGATACCAATTCAGTTTATCTTTCTTCACTCCACTTTCATCTAAGATGGTATCTTCCAGCCAGAGTGTTACAAATCTCTTTTCATCAGTACATATAGCGTTGTTTACATACTGTATCTATGGAGGAAAAATTCACATTCATTAATGCCGTCGTGGTTCATTGTGTTGTCTGCTTGCAACATAACACTAGCAACAGGAGTTGTGCATGTTCATGAACTATCCTCTCATTTTTAGGAAGGGGCTTCTTGGTTTTATTATTCTGAAAAAAATGATAGACAATTTGGAGTTATGAGGGGTGTGTTAGGGTGATTTTTATTTTTACCACAGGTGCCAAGATAATCTAGAGCTCCCCAAGATTAAACATTAAATGGATGGAAACAAGCATGCCATTGGGACTTTAAAAGAAGTTTGATTTATAAAAATAAAAAATAAAAAACACAGCCATGCACCTTTAAGACAGAGGTATAAAAGTCCAATTTTACCCATACTCAGTGACTGAAGCAGATCTGTACTGAACAACATACTACTGGATTATTCTAATGTGATTTTTAGCTTCTGTAAGCATCTGCAAGCTAGTGGTTCATGTAGTTAAGCATTTTAATAAATATGGCAACATGGCATTGCATTGGCATTAATGCTGCCACACCACCAATCCCTGATGCCACATATTAATATTAATACATTTATAATACTAATAGACTTGTAATAAGCCACTGTTCAGTGCTACTCTTGTTACCTGTGAGGTGTAGGCAAAGTCAATGAGCAGCTCCATGGCTCTCTCATCAATGTCACGAATAACCACCTCAGTCTGCCTGCTCTCTGCCAGCTCTCCAGTAAACATCGCCCTATAAACAACACAGAAGTTAACAGCTGTATTACTATTACAGTTAGTAGTTAAAATACCCCACCTGCACTTTGATATCAATTCATTAGCTAATGGATGTGAACTGAATACAGTGGCAGTCTCTTTATGTACCTGAAATAAGGGCTGCAGGCAGACAGGATCACACGGTGAGCATAAATCTTCTTGGCACCCACGACCAGCACCACATCACAGAGCTCACGGTGTTTTCTCAGCAGGTTGATCACCTCCAGGGTCTGTCGTGGGTGTTTGTCAGAGATGTAGGGCATGCGTGCAGGCTGGGGGACCCCTTCAGGGAGTTTGTTGGGGTCCCCCAGGGTACAGCGGCTGGTGATGTCCATTCCAGTGGCGTCTTGGCGTGCGCTGGTGGCCCTTGATATTAACCAGATGGGCAATAATAATTTGAATAATTAATTAATTGGTTTACTAGGAATATTCATCTTGATGCACATCACACATTCATCTTGTTAATTTAACTCAAACTCAAAACTTTTTCTTGTAATCCAGGTGGTAGTGCTCTTAACATACTGTAATGTTGCAGAGCTTAAAAATATTTGTGTAAGTTTTGTGGATTACAAATTACTACAAGTTCCTATAACTCCCACTGCTCCAGTGAAGTCACTCAGTGGCCAGCAGGTCAAGACTGTGGATGCACTGGGCAACTTCCAGGTGTGAATGTATAACCATGCGAATGTGACCAGTGTGTCCCTGAAAAAGAAAGGTGGCCTCTCAGTGGACCTACCCTGACTAAATAATGGGGGTGGGGGGAATCAGTGACCAAATAATTATAAACCACCATATAATGTCATCACATAAAACAGATTTTCAGCAAAGCTAGATTTGTGTCTAACAGGTTATGTGACGACTCTGCTGCAACAATAAAAGGGCGTTCCATCAATTTGACTCATTGAGAGAGTTTACAGTTTTCTGGTTACAAGGAGTATTATTCAGCCTGTTAAAACAATTGTATAATGTCTTCAGTAGTGTTAGAAGGTGCACCCCAGAGAGGCTGAGTCTTTAAGAAGGACGGGGTGAGGTTCACCACTCTATGTGGCAAATACACTGTGTGCACAATTATTAGGCCAGTTGCATTTTTGAGGATTCATTTTATTACTGAACAGCTACAGTGCTCTCAGTCAATCCAAAATGTTAAACCCCAAACCTGAATATTTAAGAGAGTAAAAGAGGGGTTTTGGCTTACTAAGGGGAAAGTGTCGGTGTGTGCACAATTATTGGGCAACTGTTAGTGTGCAGAATTATGCAACTAAATGAAAAACAAAAAATTTCCCATCTTACTTGTTTATTTTCATCGGTCAAAGTGAGAATAATAAACAACTCAAAACTTACATATAAATATTTGACATTTAAAAAAAAACGTGTTACCAATATAGCCACCCTTCTTTTCAATACCAGTCATAAGCCTTCCATTCATGGAGTCTGTCAGTTTCTTGATCTCTTGACAATCAACTTTTTGTGCAGCAGCAAGCAGCCTCCCAGACACTGTTCAGAGAGGTGTACTGTTTTCCTTCACTGTAAATCTCCCATTTAAGGGCCCACAAGTTCTCAGTAGGGTTTAGGTTGGGTGAGGAAGGGGGCCATGTCATTATTCTTTCATCTTTAAGGCCTTTTACTGGCTAGCAATGCAGTGGAGTACTTCGATGCATGAGATGGAGCACTGTCCTGTATAAAAATAATGATCTTCTTGAAAGATGCAGACTTTTTCCTGTACCACTGCTTGAAGAAAGTGTCTTCTAAAGTAGGTTTGGGAGTTGATTTTGAGTTCATCTTCAACCTGAAAAGGTGCAACTAGCTCATCTTTAATAATACCAGCCCCTCTCGTCCACCTTGCTGGCATCTGATTCGAACTAGAGCTCTATGCCCGTTACTGATCCAGCCACAGGGCCATCCATCTGGTCAGTCAAGAGTCTCATCAGTCCATAAAACCTTTGAAAAATCTGTCTTCCGATATTTCCTGGCCCAGTCTTGACATTTCAACTTATGTGTTTTGTTCAGTGGTGGTCGGGTTTCAGCCTTCCTTACCTTGGCCATGTCTCTGATAACTGAACACCTTGTGCTTCTGGGCACTCCAGGTAGGTTGCAGTTCTGGAATGTGACAGAACTGGAGGATAATGGGTTCCTGGTAGCTTCACGTTCAACTCTTCTTAAATCTTTGGCAGTTAATTTGTGTATTTGTTTCCCTCAACACGTTTCTTGCTACCCTGTTGACTATTTGCAACAAAACATTTGACGGTTCTGTGATCACGCCCCAATATCTTAGAAATTTCAAGGGCGCTGCATCACTCTGAAAGACTTTACAATTTTTGACTTTTCACAGTCAGTTAAGTCTCTTTTTTGGTCCATTTTGTCTGAGGAAAAGAAGCTGCCTAATAATTATGCACACCTTGAAATAAGGTGTTGATCTCCTTAGGCCACACCGTCCCTCATTACACAAATACACATCACCTGATATGCTTAAATCCAATAAGCATGCAAGTTTATACAGCCTGAAGTTGGAAACTATGCATGAAAATGATATGGTCAAAATACTCACTTGCCTAATAATTGTGCACACAGTGTAGTGTGTGCTGATAAAATTTCCTACTGGAAGTGGAAATGAATGAACACCAGCAGATGCGTGGAAAGGTAGAAAGATATGTTAGCATCAGGTTTTGAATATTTGTTTAACTGTGATTTAACGCTATATGTGGTTTAGGACAAAAAGACTCAAAACCACTAATATGGTCATTTAAGTCCCTCCTCCATTGTCATCACTTAATTTCATTTTTTATGGAACATAGCCCCGTGGTACAGCTCACAGCTCTGCTCCCTAAAGCAGGCATCACGAAAAATGGAAAGGAGGTGACGCTCCACTAAGTCAGAAGAGTTTTTCATAGCCTGGAAAGATAGTTTAATAACATATAAGAAAGCCCTTCATAGTGCCAGAACCGCATTTTATTCATCACTGATTGAGGAAAATAAGAACACCCCCAGGTTTCTTTTCAGCACTGTAGCCAGGCTGACAAAGAGCCACAGTGCTGTTGAGCTTAACATTCCCTTAGATCTCAGCAGCAATGACTTCATGAGCTTCTTTACAAATAAAATCACAACTATTAGAAAAAAA